TGCTTTTTTTTTTTTTTTTTAACTAGTCTCCCCTGGAGCCAGAGTTGCATTCGATGCATTAAATGAAACAACCACCACCAAAAAAAGTCTTCAATTTTTGCTGAAATCAATTCTGGTCGTTAGCATTCCTGAAGTTAGACCATACTGGTGTCTTGTTTAATCTCAGTTGAATTAGAACTTGTTTAAGTACGTACAAGTAGTTGCCTTGCAATGAAACAAACCAGATCGACATGGGACACTTTACAAACCCTCCTCATCCTGCAAGACAACTGGGCGGTGATTTATCTCGGACAATCAGTGTTCAGATAAAATAGGAGTGGTGCTAAATGAAGCATCCATTTATTACAGCAATAGAAGGCTAAACTGAGTCAGAAATTGTTAATTCCCAGGCTATCTTCTGGAGGGGGGGTCTCCTCTTCCGCGCTGTATTGCAAGGGGCAGGGAAGCTTCTCCGCCTCGGCTGACCTCCTGCTCCGTCCAGGATGCAGACCGAAAGCATCGCTTTCTGCGTGCGTGACGGGACGTGGGACCAGGCGGAGAGTCTCCTTTCGAGATGCCGCTGAACTTTGCGCTGCCTCTAAGCATCCCGCCCGAGACTCGGTCTCCGCCCAACACCAGCTCACCCCAGGACAAAGGGCAACCCATGAAGAGGACAGAGAAGGGCGCAGAGAAAGGCGAGCGGGGAAAGTCTCCCGAGCTCCTTGTCGCTCCCCTTTCCAAACAGCTGGATCTTGGCCAGCCGCGCACTTACCTGCCAGACGCAGCGTCCAGGCGCGGCATCGCGGACTGCCGACGGTGAGTTTCGCTTTCCTTGCAACGCACCGCCTCAGCTCGTCACTTGGGTGGCGAACCGCATCGCTCGGGTGTTATTCCGCACCCCCAATTCCTTCTTCCGCACCGACGCCTGACTGAGAAGCGAGCAGTATTCTCTTTCTCTTTCTCTTCCCCGCCACCCCCCCAAAGCGAATCGGCTGCCGTCGAATCTGTTCCTTCCAGGAGGCGGCAGCAGCAGCGCCGCGGCATCCACACCAAGAGCGGATTCAGACGCGCGCGGAGGCCAGCGGCACGGCGCCGGGGACCGCTCGCTTCCTCCTTCGAACGCGTCGCTCTGAAGCTCCAGCCGCGGGAAGGCGCTTCGGCTCGCGGACGGCGCGAAGCCAGGTAACCAGCGCAGCGGCCG